CAGCAGTAGACTCATAGACACTGAGAAGTGACTGGTAGTTACCAAATGGAAGGAGTTGAGGTACTTGGGTGGGGAGGATGAGGGGGATAAAAGGTCACAAAAATTCTCAATCATAATTTGAGTTGGTGATGAGGATTTAATTAACTGTTGAACCACTGTGTATACTTGAAACCAATATAAGATTGTATATCAATGATAATTCTATTTTAAAAAGAAGAAATGGCAAGGTTGTAAAGAAAAAGATAGTATTATGTAAAAACAGAAGAGGTTCAGGGCTTCTCAATTTGTAAGTGGGTTTGTTAAAAAGAAAACTACAAGTCTAAAATGGAGTCACTTCTGCTAAGCCAAGTCACCAAACCGGGGCTTAATACCTAATCTAATTGCAGTTTCAATCTCCTCCAGAAATGTAGTCACTCAGGAATTTTCTAATCAGCACCGAGGGAATCTGCCACAAACCCTCTTCCTGCTCCCAAAAGAAGGTGAGGTAATCTGCACAAGGCCCCATTCTCTTCCCCCTAAGGTTAGTTGTCCTGGGCTGAAACTGTCCCTTCTTTTCTTTTGCTAATAACTTCTTGCCCCACTCTCCTGCCTATAAAAACCTTCCATTTTGTACAACTCCTCAGAGCACCTGTCTATTTACTAGAAGGATGCTGCTCAATTCATGAACTGCTTAATAAAGACATTTAGATATTCAAATTTACTCAGCTGAATTTTGTTAACATTCTTAAACATGTGAGGTGGAAATGAGTTTCAGAAACTACAAAGCTCAAGCAAGCCAATGATTAGAAAAGACCTAACTCACAGATTATTCAGAAGCCTGTGATGGGACATTAGGAGCTCAGAATAAGTCTCACCAAGATGTGCCACTTTGGTGTGCAGATTAATTCAAGCTGAAACAATCAAAATCCAAAAAACTCAGGAAGAAACTTTGACTGCCCTTTACTTTCCCTTTAACTGCCTAAAAGAATTTAGAGGACCTGCTCCAGGAAGAGTTATCACCACAGATACTCATAGAATAATATGGACTAGGGGTGGTAGACAGGGAGGAACCTAGCACGGCCTATTTGATCAATTTGTCTCTATGTTCCATTGTTTCTGGATACCCAAGAAAACATTTGTTTACCAAACATTTATTCTTTCCAGTCTTCCTGTGAACTGCCTTCCTTGTGTTTACGTCCAGACCCCATCTACTTCTTAGTCCCAGATAACATATATACCTCGTTTTGCCTGACTGCTTTTGGAATCTCATGTCTGTGTAGATGCCCTGTATGTACACAATTAAATTTTATCTTTCCCTGTTAATCTGTCTCAGGTTAATCTGATTCTTATACCAGCCAAAAGAACCTTGAAGGGTAGACAAAAATCTTTCCTCCCCAACAGATCCTCATTCAAATTAAGTAAATATAATAGAACCTGAGTCAAACATACGCACCTTTTCTAGAGTTTAAACTGCAAGTCCTAGAATAATATTTCCCTGGGGAATGCTCAAGCAGTGAACCACTGCCATGGGAAATGCCTAAATGAATATGAACTGGTCCAGCTCTACTATAGGCTCTGTTCTTCATGTGTCCTGGCTTTCTAATACCTTTTTTTTTTTTAATGAGATCCAGTGCTTGGTTTTTCCTGGAATTCTGTTCACATGTATTCTTACAATAAACACACCATTACTTGAGTGTGGGTTATCCCCTGAAACCAAACTGAATGGCTAGAACAGGTCATATATCTTGCTTTTGGATTTGAGAGCGAGGAACTTAAAGTAAACTTCAATCTCCTTTCACTTGCATTTTACATTTCCACCCATTGGGTCAAGAAATAGAGAAAAGGAAGAAATACTGTTAAGTGTAGTTTCTCTAGTTACAAGGGAATGTTCTCTGGATGGATTCCCCTTCAGATCTGCCACTATAATTCTCTGTTGTCAGGACCTTGATTAAGTTAATGCAGGAGCATCCTCTGAGTTTGTCTCTTGTGCATGAATTCCATATAAGTGTTGATAACACTTTATCTAACTTACCAGACAAAAAAGAAAAAATGTTGACTTTAGCCATTTGAATAACACATAGCAGGAATTATTAATAATAATTCTTATATTCTCAAATTATTAACTCTTTAACAAATTATTTAAAGATTCATCATATGTTTGGAATGTAGAAATTCTACAAAATAAAGGCCCAATAATTTTCCCAGAATGGAGTTATGTCCTCACATTTAATCAATATAAAGAACAATTACATTGTATAAATTTAAAAATCTTTTGTCTATACTAGAAAACGACCTGGATCTCAGTAATGTGTCACAGCTCAGAGCCCCTGAAAATTCCTAAAGGGCATTCTCAGACCCATGTGGCCATGTGGAAACTGTCCTTCTACCAGTAGTTACGGTTTTTAATTCCCTTTCTTATTCTCCCATCCTAAGTCGCAACTAACCTAATAATAGTTTCTTCTGGGCTTTAAATAGTTGCCATAAAGGAGAACTTTCAAATACTGTCCTGGAGAAAATCCCATGTGCCTCCTACTAAGTTTACCTTCTAGTTAACTGGAAACTGTGAGGTAGGTGAGACCAGAGCTCAGCCTCAGGCAGGGACTTAAGGGAATACAGGGCAGTGGCTCAGCTTCCCCCGGGCGCCCGACCCAGCCCACGGCTGCCCAAGCACACACGGCCTTCTGATTGGTTCTGCTAGATTGTTCTTTCTTGAAATGAAGCACTCAGAATCATACTCAGAATCACAGATAAATGAATGAAGAGAAGGCATGTTACTGCACGTGATGTCATGTGAGAGGATTTTAAAGAAATAATATGCCAGTTGTGCAGAATATGAGCTTCTGCTTCTTTAGTGGAATCCAGCAAAGTGGATTAGCAGGAAATTTCAAACTGATGCAAGTCCTCTAAAACTCAGTTCCATGAGCAAACTGAATATAAGCAAAAATAAAAGTCAGAATCTCCTTCGGGTGAGCTTCACCCTCTCTGGCCAAGCTGGCAACCATACCTGAAATTAGCTGTACACCTGCTAGACGAGTTACTACTAAAAAGAAAATTCAGTGGGACAAGGGGACAATGTAGGGCAAGAAGCCGTGAAAGTAAAAGGCTGTTGAGTGAAAGACTTGAGACATTCTGTAGTGTGTTAAAAGCAGCTCCCTGATGAGCCCCTGCTGCAATGGCTACAGAGGATTTTAGACAAAGGGGCCGCGTCCCCACCCGTGGACACCGCTGAGTGGAGGAGACCTTGAGCGAGCTCCAGGGGGAATGTTTGGGCTCACCCTGGATCTTCCGGAGGCTGCTGCCCCTGCAGAGGTGCTTCGAGGGGCAGCAGCTAGTTTGCCAGACCAGTCAAGGAAGCAGCCTGTCCCACACACCCAGGTACGTGTGAGCTCCTGGTTCTGATGTGTCTCACTCAAGTCTTCGTGTTTTCTAACCAAGTTAGAAAGCAGGGGTGGGTGGCCCTGCAGAGGGAAGGCAGCTGAGCTCCCCCCAGTCCTCTCTGGACCTCTTGCTGTGAGGTAGCCTTTGGCTGTGGGGCATCTATATTTTAATGCTGTTGCTATATTGTATCCTTTTCCGGCAAATCACGGATTTGTGAAAATTGTCAGTTTGGAGCCTTTGAGTCTTCTTTATTAAAGGAAACCTGTGTGACTCTCACCATCCGCACCATAAAGCTTCTCGCTCTTAGGGATTTGCAGCTTAGTGGGAGTGGGATAGAGAGCACGGGGTCAGCAGGGAGGCCCGGCTCAGCGGGCAGGGATGTTTTCTCACAAGGCATTGGGAGGAATGATCGGGTGGTCATGCAGTAAAGTCTGAATGAGCAAGGATTATTTTGCCCTATACCCATAACCAAAGAGAAAACTGGTGGTTTTGGGAAGGAGGAAATTAGAAGGTATCTGGGTTTGGGAAAATTTTATCTGAAGGAAGAAGACATTATAAGTACTCGAGGACATGACTGAAGTTCCCACAAGAATTTGTAAGTGAAAGCAACAGGCTTCTCTCTCTGAGCATGCAACAATAAGATCAACACTTGATGGATCAGGCCAGTGATGTGCAAAATCAACTGGAGGCACAGCACGGCTGACCATTAATATATCCAGTGTGTCACTGTATCTAAAAATGTACAGAGTTGGCAGCTTGAACATGTCTCCCCATACTCTCTAGTGCCAAATTCAAACACCCCGGCTTTCCTGAGCAGAACGGCAGCTGGAGACATCAGGCCCGGGGGGGTCCTGGTAGAAGGACAGCTTGCAGGCCCTTCTCTCGGGGGCTGCATGTGGATGTTCCTGGGAACATCAGCAGCAGGTGATGGACCTGTGGGTGAAAGCTTGGTATTACCCCATGCAAATGAATCTTTCCATCTGATTGCCAAGCATACGGGGCAGAACTGCTACAGAGCTGTCTTCCCTCCCGAGGGTAGGAAAGCATACAGAGACTGGAGGGCAGATGTCTGGGTCCAGAAGTGAGTTGGGCAACGTGCCGCTACACTACAGGTCCCCAGGTGGAGACCCCATTCTCTCTTGAGACTCTTGTCACTGAAGGGACTCCAACAGCCAGGCTTCTGCCACAACGGGCCAACCAAAACAGTACAGAGAGACAGACAGATAAACATCAAATAGGAAAATCAGAACAATGCATAAAAATGTCAAAGGAGATAGACATGGACCTAAATAACCACCACAAGATAAACAAAACAAAACAAAACAGTGAGGGCATTTGAAGAGATTCAAGTACAGTGCAATATGACATTGTGGAGCCAAGAACCATGATTTTCCTATTTAAAAACTCAGACTTTTGGTTTCAGCCCAGAGATGCAGAGGGCTGGAGTGATATCACACCCACCCTTACAACAAAAAAACACTGGACAGACTAAAAATCAGCAACTTATACTGGACCATCAGAGAGCTGTTACATGGAAGATGGCCATTCAGAAATCTGGGGAAATTGGTGTCTTGTAGGCATGTGCTTACCTAGGACAGAAGCTGCCAGATGTCATATAAACCAGTAGGGAGATTAAACTGGAAATGTTGACAAGTGGATGGACACTGAATGTGCACGAGTGTGAGGCCGTGGGGCTTCTGAGGGCTGCAGTCACAGGGCGGGTCCCCCTTCTAGCAGTTCGTTCCTCCAGGGACCCCACCCGGCTCTCACAGGAGGACGGGGAAGAAGCCAAGGAAAGCCCTACCCTGGTGCCAGCTGGGACTGGGGAGCAGCCGCTGCCAAACCCTCCGGGGCCCAGTCCCCTCTCCCTGCAGAACAAAAGGCTCCCGCTTAAGCAGGGGACTCACCAAAGCCAGCCAGAGGGGATGGGAGCTGTCCCCATGCAGCCGGGCAAGGGGTTCACAACCTTAGCCTGCAGAAACTGGCAAAAAGATGTAAAAACAAAGTTTTTAAAATAGCCAAAATAATTCCAGTGAAGAACAAAGGTGGTCAACTTACATTGCCGAATTTCAGAGCTGACTGTGTAAAGTTACACTGTTCAACACACTGTTGTATCTGCAAAAGGATAACACAGGAAAAGATATGTGGGTCAGTGAATCAGAATAGAGAATCCATAATATAGCACATAAATATAGCCCAGGGAGTTTTTTAAGGTACAAAGGAAACCCAGTGGAGAAATGATAGTCTTTCCAACAAGAGGTGGTATGTTGGATGATGTAAGGGCAAATGCAAATTAAAAATAAGATACTCGTTCTCCCCATTGAAAAATAAAGGAAGAGACTTCTCTCCCCCATCCCTTTTTTTACAGCATTTACTTCAGAAAACTTGTCATTTTAACTTCTTTCCTTGTTGCTTTGAAATGCATATAAATCTTTTAAGAAGTTAAGTAAGCCTCTTTCCAGCTTTACTGCCCCGTAATGTCTTTTTCAAGGACCTAAAAACCATCTCTTTAAAATATTAATCTCAGAAAAGACAATGCCCGTCTCTCCCAGTATCTGTAACCTCAGAGGCGCCTCACCCCAAGTTCCGAAACCATCTTCTTTCATAAACGTGTGAGATGCCTGGGCTTTTTGCACAAAGTCCATTAGCAAACACAATTGACCACCTCAATAACCAGGTGAATCTAGAATGAACAGATGTGTGACATACAGTGCTGCCATGTTCTCTTAGGTTATTGTTTATCAGTATCCTTTTTCAAGGGCTGTTTATTGTTTATCAAACATGTATGCATGGGTGCTTGGCTCATATGATATCACAGTAAATAACCCCTCCTAAATGCAGTGCTGGCCTGAGGGAGACAACATGTATGAATGGAGATTGACTATATTTGGTCCACCTGGGTCTGTACAGGAAGGTGGTGTGTTTTTTCTGGATGTCATGTTTTCATCTACTATCCATTTAAAACACTGAAGGTTATTTTCTGCACCAGAATCTCTCTGTGACATTAACATTCAGGGAGTCATCTAATTAAAGACACTGTTTCCACCACCCCAAAGTCTTCATCACCTATTGTGCCTTTTTCACAGACTGCAGGCAACCCTGCAGAATATCTGCTTGAAAGCAAAGCCTTTAACAGAGCAGAACATGGCTGGACAGCTAGGTGATGGGCCAAGAGACAGGCAAGATAATTCGCATAATTTGTGCACAGTGTGAAGGAGCAGAAGGCATCTTTACACCTTTACAGCATGGCTTCTGTGTATGTTTACACTGAGTGTCCTCTCTGCTTTTATTCTTTAGAGAACTGGAAGATTCCCCCAAATGCTAGATTATGCAGATTAGTTGTGTTTGAAACACCAAGAAGTAAGGCTTGCTTCTTTGATACATCAAAATATATTTTGTGATGCACTAGAAATCCTGAAGTCTACCAAGCATCATAGTGCATATGAGCCTGTAACTGATAACCTGTGTGAAGTTACACAAAGAGCCAAGGATGACTGGGAATTATGGTATTTCTATAACATGCAGATCTGTCTCTGAGTACGCAGTTCATGTTGCTGTGAATAATGTTTTACCTTCCCCCTTTGTCAGTGTACAATGAGAAGACTTCCTTTGACCCTTTGTAGGTCAGAGAGCACCTGATGTATAAACTCAAACACATGTTACTAAAGGCAAAGAAAAGAAGCTTATTGAAACCTTATTTTCAGAGGTGGGAAGTTGGAGGTAGTTTATGTCAGCTAAGAAGTCTATTTTAGGAAGATAAAAGCTAAGTTGTTAAAGAAGGGATCTCAACAAAAGAAAACAAACAAACAAAGATTGTTTTTCTCTAAGTCCAGAGATGTACGGATGGTCCAGAGTGCAAGGCTCAGAGTGCACAGCCAAGTTCCTTCTACATTGTTGCTTTGTTGTCTCCTAGGGACTTACTCAACCAACCACCATTCAGTCCTCATCCATGGCAAAGACTAATGATTGCTCTTCAGTACTGTCCTTCCCTTCTACCTTTCAGTATTAGAGTGTACCCATATTTTAGACACATGACTGTTCATGTAATGAAGAGACCACCTTTTTTCAACCCCAAGTGGTCCCTGAGGTGATAATTGTTGATGCTGGATGATGGATACAGAATTGTTATTACACTCTTCTTTCTATTTCTGTGTATGTTTAAATGTGTCCATAATAAAAGACTTTGCCACAATTTAAAATTTTTCTAAAGTTTTTAATCTATTTGCATTTTATTTGAATTGCAATGAATAAAAGGATTAATTTTGGATGACATGATCAATTTTTACTTTCTTTTATCATTAAAATATCTCTAAAAACTTGTTTCCATTTTTAAAGTTTACAATTTTCATATTCTATCTTTTGCCACTTTATTTTTATAATCATAAATGCAATTTAAAAAATAACAAAATGAGAAGGAAGCACATGATGGAGGGAGGAAATTCCAGGTTTTAGACCTAGGAATCCTTTGGAGCTCTATAATGTTATCTTTAGAAATTATTGGCCACCCGAGGGCCCCTCTTGTATGATGCAACCAGCTGGAACATGACTGATACAGGGAGGAATAATTGGCCCTGGAGAATCATTCAGATTCAGAGCAGACCTCCTGTGTAGGGGCCTCTCCGGGGACCCCCTCTCACTCTCCACAGTCTGGAGCCGAGATCAAGTCCCTCTGTCCTTTGTTATTTGGGAGGCAGAGTCAAGAAGGCCTCCCCTTGGACAGAAAGATTGTAGGGATGGTTCCTTGCTCAGAAGTCCCACCTCGGCATCTTCTACTGGAAGGACAGAGCTGAGGGGAGCCCACACAGCCCTGGCCACACCTGTGGCTGTTGCTCCAGTGCTGGAAAGGATGCCGCTCAGGTATCCTCCACTGAGAGCATCTCTCGTTGGCCGAGGGAGCCCAGGTGAAGACAAATCTCCTTCTCATTCATACCCTTCTGCTCCTAAAACTGTCCACTCTGGGAACCCGTGAGTGCACAAGCCATGCCTTGAGTTTAGATCCTGTTTATCACCCTCCTGAGTTACCCACCAAGGAGGGAGGGGTGACCATTTTCCCTTGCTCTGAACCCTATCACTGTCCATTTTGCCAGGTGTCCTGGGCTTTTACCATCCTTGCGATGCACAGAAGATGGCCCAGGTCTTACTTGGCTTTATCCAAATCTGCTGGTACCAACTCAGAGAATAGCACAGTCTTCTTGGACTCTCTTGTTAAGTACTGAGATTGTAGTGCAAACAGTGGGCATTATAGATTCACAGAAGCCCCGAAATGGGAAGGCCTTGGAGGAACTGACCGCCCTCCTCTCCACTCTGAGGGCTTCCTCCTGCCTGGCTTCCATGAAACCAGCCCGCTCATGTGCCACTTCTGCTTGGGCTTTTAGAGAAGAGAAGAAGGGGTTTCCATGTAGTTCCAGAGCTCCCCAAGGAAGATTCTCCCCCAGTCATTAGAATTTATAAGCTGGAGTGGACCTTGGAAAACATTTAGTTTTCCCAGATCTTTTTTTAGATGAGAAAATCAGGTGATGTCCTCGCAGGCTGACAGTGGCAGAGAAGGCTTTGTCCCATCACCAGGTCTCACAGCACCCTCACCAGTCATCAAACATCCATCACGGCCTGACCACCTGACGGTCAGCCAGAGGTTGTTTGCTGACTCAGCGTGCCAGTCACCCCTCCAGTGGTTTGAGCTCTGATCCTCTTGGAACTGAACACAGTGCTTCTCAGTGCTCTGGAGCCTGTCCCCAAACCCTCCTTTCCATGTCCAGTTGGAATCTCCTGCTCTCTTGCCTCCTTTCCGGGTCCAATTCTCTACGCTCTTCCTTCCCACCTCCCCCACTCGGCCGACAGGTCACTGCCTTGAGCTGGGAAGGGCTGCGGCGGTCTGACCTGGCTGGGGGGCCTCTGCTGCAGGAAGTGTCCTGGGTCAGCCAGGAAGCTTTACCCACGCTGCCTCACGCCCAGGCCTGCTCTGACACTCATCAGCCATTTGAGCATTCCCTTCTGCTCCTGTCCCTCTGAGAGGGAACCTGACAGCTCCATGGAACTTGGCAACGTGACCACCGTCCCCACGTTTGTTCTCCAAGGACTGTCCGACAACCCTCAGGTCCAGGCTGGGCTCTCCGTGCTCTTCCTGGCGGTTTACCTCCTGACCCTCACGGGGAACCTGACGCTGCTGCTGGTGATCAGGGCTGATTCCCACCTCCACACGCCCATGTACTTCTTCCTGAGTCACCTCTCCTTCCTGGATGCTTTCTATTCCTCAGTCATTGTACCTAAGCTGCTGCAGAACCTTCTGTTCAAGTGGAAGACTATATCCTTCATCGAGTGTTTCATGCAGATCTCCCTGGTCTTGTTTTCTGGGGCCACTGAAGCTTGCCTCCTTTCAGTCATGGCCTACGACCGGTTCCAGGCTGTGTGTCACCCGCTGCTATATGTGGTGGCTATGAACAGAAAGGTATGTACTGGCCTGGTGGGAGCATCCTGGGCCATAGGAATGGGGACCAGTCTGGTGAACACCATCCTCCTGGCTCAGCAGCACTTCTGTGGCCCGAACCTCATCCGTAGTTTCGCCTGTGAGCTTCCCCCTGTGCTCGTGTTGGCCTGTTCAGACACCTCCATCAGTGTTGCCTCCATCCTGACCACCATGGCAGTCCTGGGCCTTGGCACCCTTGTCCTGTTGCTGGGTTCCTACACCCGCATCATCATGACAGCTCTGGGCACCAACTCTGCCGTGGGCTGGAGCAAGATCTTCTCCACCTGCTCTTCTCATTTTCTTGTGGTCGCCATCTTTTACGGTTCAGGAGTTTTCAGGTATGTACGTACTAACAACCTCCTGACTGTAAATGTAGGCTATTCCTTACCCTAAAGTAGCCTTGGTCTATAAAAAAGAGCATTTCAAAGTAGCAGGAAAGTAACTGAACTGGAATTCAGAAGGCCTGGGTTCCAGTTCTGGCTCTGCTGTGGTCTAATTATAACAATTTCATTTTCTTTCTGAGGCCTCAGGTGTCTAACTGAAAAAATGATCTGATGTGAGAACTAAAGCTTTGACCTACTTTATTAACCTATGATTTGAGGGTTCTCAAGAGGAAATCAGAGATCTTTGGTAGATTTTTATTCAGTGCTAAACAAAAAAATTTTTTAAATGTATCACCCATGAAACAGGTGCCACCTTTCTTTCCTACAGGAACATGATGTCTTCAAAGCTTATTTGTGCTGTATCTACTTATTAGGCACCTGCTCTATACCAGCCGCTTTACATGGTCAAGCCTAATTTCAGTAGGCAGCACACCAAAGGAGAAACAGTAGTAACCCCATTTTCAAATGTGGAACCTGAGTTTCAGGAGTAACAAGGTGATTTCTCAAAGGTCCCAGAACAAGCTGCTAATGGGGCCGCAATATAAACCATGTCTCACTGATTTCAAACCTCATGCTCTTTCCTACCATGCTCTGTTGAACATAAACAGCTCTAGCTGACGAGGCCTCCCTTACCAGGAGACAGAATGATTAATGGTCTATTTCCTCTACTAGTGAACTGGCAATGGGTTTTCTCACTTGCTTGTGACTTAGAGAGAAGTGAGGGGTGGGAAAGGATGATAAGGGGTGGTCCAGGAGAGCTCTTCTCTCTCCATGTCAGTTTCCTCAGGCCATAGGGGGGCAATAAGATTTCTCCTACCAACTCCACAGAAATGCCAGGAGAGATAAATTAGATGAAAAACAATGACAGTAGAAAATGAATATCTTTTCTAACCAAGCACACCAGGATACACAGAGAACATTCAGTGATGATGGTAGCATTGCAATGCTTCTTTGGTAAATATTTCCAGTGATAGGTAACAAGATGTAGCCAAAAATTTTATCTCATTATTTTGGATTCATATATTGTGCTTAACACATTTTTAAAATTTTTCCCTTTGTTTGCCAAGTTTGGTCTCTTTTCTAAGCCAAAGAAAAATGCACTTAAAAGGGCAAATGTTTGTTCCACTAACCATTATAAAAATAATGTGCTGTAGCAGAATCACAGAACCCAAGAATGGACTAACAGTTACCAAAGGAAAAGGGACTGGGGATGATGGGTGGGAAGGGAGGGATAAGGGTGGGGAAAAAGAAAGGGGGCATTGCGATTAGCATGTATAGTGTTGTGGGGGATTACGGGAAGGGCTGTGCAACACAGAGAAGACAGGTGGTGATTATACAGCATCTTGCAACTCTGAAGGACAGTGACTGTAGTGGGGTGTGAGGGGGTGGACTCGGTGAGGGAGGGAGCCTGGTAAACATAGTGTTCTTCATGTAATTGTAGATTAATGATAGCAAAAATAAAAACAAATACAATAAAATAAAATAAATAATGTGCTGTGATTCTGAGGACAACTCCCAGAGCCATAAATGTGGGGAACTGTGACAGCATTATCGGCCTAAGCACACAGTTTGCAAGGACTGATCATCACAAGATGAGAATATGCCATTGTATCTATAAGGAAAATTAGAGAAAAATAGCCTCATAATATTATAACTAGTAAGGAAAGATGTTTGCAAGAGTATGCAGTGCTATGGAGATGCGCCACACCGCTGTTAGCTCTGTCCTAACCTGCCGCCCTTGAGACGCCGCAGAGCTTCCTTCCTCCTCGGGGCAGCTCCTCTGAAGCTCTGCACAAGGCTCTGTTTGGAGGCATTTGAAGGCCGCAATGTGAGAAGGCCAACTGCTGTCCCTGACCATGCAGTCATCTCCTGGTCCTGCTGCCAGTGATAGTCATCTCAGCTCTCGTTGCAGAGTCCCTGGGATGGGATGGAGTGTGGCTGCCAGCAGTGCTTTGACCATTGGCCTGAGCTCAGTACAGTCCTCTGTGTAATTCCTTTCAAGGTACATGACTCCTGCATCAGGCTCCGTCCTGGAGCAAGTGCTCTCCGTGCAGTACAGTGTGGTGACCCCACTGCTAAACCCCCTCATCTACAGTCTGAAGAACCGGGAGGTGAAGGCGGCTCTGAGGAAGATGCTGGCCAGGAGGCCCAGGCTTCCCTTCTAGCCCAGGCTCCGCTGCCACCTCCTGACGGAAGGAAAAGTTGTGAGAAGGGAGAGGAGACATGAAGAGCCATCACCACTCTGTTATCCCTGCATTCATTCTTTTTGGAATCAAAGGAATTAGTTTCTGTGACCCCAGTGCCCTGCCCCAGTCAGGCTGGTTGGGGAAATCTCCGCAGAGCAGAAGACACCCACCCAGGGGGCCTAGTCCCTGCACAGGAAGATCGTCACAGAGACAGTATGGAATCTCCTCAAAAAAGTAACAATACAGCTTCCATCTTATCCAGCAGTTCCACTCTGGGGAAGTTTATCTTAGTGAGATAAAAACACTAATTCAAACTGCATGGCAGCCTTATTTACAAAAGGCAAGACAGAGAAGCAACCTTAGTGTCCACTGACGGGTGAATGGATAACAAAACTGTGGTGTATATATATGTGGTGGAATATTATTCAGACATAAAAAAATGAGGAAATCTTACCATTTGCAACAGCATGGGCAGACTTGAAGGCATTATGCTTAGTACAAGAAATCAGACAGAGAAAGACAAACACTGTATGATCTCACCCCCAGGTGGAATCTAAAACAACAATAACAAAGACCCAAGTTCATAGAAAAGACCTCGGGGTACAGAGAGGCTCGGGGTGGGGAAGAGGGAAGTGGAGGAAGAGGGTCAAAAGGTGCGAATTTCCAGTTATAAGATAAATAAGTGCTAGGGATGCAATGTACCAGATAAGCCCAGCTACCACCGCTGTGTGATGCACAGGGAAGTTAACAGGGGTTTCTCATCACAAGGAGAAATGTTTTTTCTTTTCTTCTTTCCTTTCCTTATATTGCCTCATATGAGATGATGGGTCTTAGGTGAACCTATGGTGATAACCATTTCACAATGTATGTAAATCAAACCATCACACTGTCCACCTTAAACTTATGCAGTGATGTATGCCAATTATTTCACAATAAGAAATATTTCTTGTCCTTTCTACCCCTCCCCTTTCTGCCTCTCCCTCTCTTGCTTTTGTCTTTGCACAAAGTGTAAGTCAACTCATCTGACCACTAGTGAAGCTCCTACTGCGTTGTGGAAGAATCCCATCTTGGTACTGTGAGACCCATCTCCTCTTTTGCTCCCGTACTCTTAAATCCCAGGCAAGATCTGCAGCTTCATAATAAGTAAAGTAAGTGTGTCTCCTACTGTCTTTATTCTTGACAAGTAACACCTAAAGTAGAGCATAGCTAATGGTAAATCCTCTGTAGCTATAAGGGATCCATATGAAGAGCTCTTTCTCTTGCATGATCCTAGGAAATGTACAAAGTGAGTATCCTCCCCTGATGTTTAAGTCTTGGGAGTAGAGTCCCTGTCTATTTAGCTTTTGTTTCCCCAGTGACCAGTGTAGTCCTGTCACCTAATTGACTCTCAATTAGTGTAAAAAAAATTAATGAATGAACAAGAACAGGGAATGAGAGAAGGAGCATATGAAAAGGACCATTTAATTTTAACCAGCAAAATTCCTCCTTTACAACAATATAGATGTCAGAGGAAAGTGGCATGAAGGAGAAATTGGGACAGCAAGGGAGAGTCCGAATTGTTGGGCACCACGCTGAGTCATAGAGCTCATGAGTGGTGGGTGTGCAGTCTGACAGCCCTGCCCTGGGCCTCCCCACCACCCACCTTAGACTGGACCACTTCAGATCTTTGTCTGGTGGAAGACTTCTTCCAGGCCTAGAGGAAGGAGGAGTTGGAGAAGCAGAACAAATGCTCAGCTGCCATCCCAACTTCCATTCAACTCCCAGTACAGTTACAGAACGAGAGAAGCAGTTTCCTGTCCTGATTCTACCCAAACCAGGAGGTCTACATTAGTCAAGACTACTTCCATGCCAGCTCCCTGGCTTCTGTCTTCTAGCTCCTCTGGCCCTCAGGCTAAGAGTCTCTCTGCAAAAAAATTTACTGTCAGTTTCCTTCAACAAAGGCCTCTATTTTGTGGCCTCATTGATGGTGTACCTACAGGTGAAATTTCCTGATCTCATCTGCAGAATGAAAGCTGGGCCTGTGGGGATGAGCAAGAATCCCACCTTTAGTTGCATTTCTTCTCTGACCACTAGGTAGAACTGCTAGAGCATATGACTTCCTGAGGGCATAACAGGCAGGGTAAAAAGTAAGAAGTAGATGTATGAGTGCAGTGGGAGGAATGGCCCTCCAACCTTCCCTCCCATTCACACCTATACACTGGGGTTACTCTTAAAACCCTGCAGACCTTGAGAAAAGTCTTTTTTACCATTATTAGGAAAGGAATAACATCAATACCCCTGGGAGATGCAACACATTGTGTTTTAATTTACGCTGCACTCATTTGATGAATACTGTATTTCCTACGAGTTTGTTTTCATGAAGAATAAGGGAGAGAAGGCCTCTCCACCTCTTGCCTGGCCCTATACATCCCTAAACAGGCCATGGGGGCTTTATTTGGTAGCAGCTGATGTCTCTGAGACAAAGGAAGTAAGATTTGACTCCTAAGCTCCCAGTGGGTATAGTGGGTAGAGGAGTGTAGTCAGTGTATTAGACATCTTAGGAAGGGAGAAGGAATGGGCACTCGAGGAGACCTCAGTTAATCAGACATGTGGTGGTCCTGCTGGACTTCGGGAATGCTGGATTATTGTAAGCTTGGGAAAAGGAAATCCTGGGGCAAAATACCTCTAAAAACCAAAATCAAAGGGAGAAATAAAGTTTAAAACCCATTTATTGCTTACAAAACTGCAGTCCGGCCCATCTCTCTCTCTCCTGCTCCAGCATCAGCAAAACCGGCCCTCCCCCTCACCTCTCAGGTACACATAAGCCCTCCTTGCCCAGGTAATTACCCATTGATAGGGAGATGAACTTCTCTCCACCCCTGAGGAATGATGCAAATGCACTAAAGCCATGCTTTCCACCTCTGAACGTCTATTGATATGCAGATGTATTGAAAGCCAGGTGAGACATTCTGGAAATGTTACAATTTTACCCACAGGCCACCCCTCCAGAAATCTTGCCTTACAGTTTACTGGTTCCCCCTCTTCTGACCAATCTAGTAACATACAATAGCAACAGCAATAAAATCTTGATAATCCTCAAGACAGAGGATTCAGCCTATGCAGATTGAGTAAATGTACTTTACAGCACAATCTCTCACTAAGCACAAAATAAGTTTCTATACTTGTTTACTCATTCCCAACACTCATGCTAGATTGCTCACAAAACTTTTACCAAACATTAGACAAAGTCAAGCCTCTCTTTAAGCATTTTTTTCTTGACAACAGCAACACAATCATGATAATTCTCAAGCCAGAGGATTCAGCTAGGTTCAAAGTCCCATGCGGATTAAGTCCAAAGCTCGTCCATTTCAGCCATCACGCAGCAGCTGCAGCCAGGAGGTGCATCCAGGACACAAAGACCATAGAAGCAAATAACCATGATTGTGGGGGTCACTTTGCTGTTATTCCAGGAATTCACAGTAGGCCAGCTTCCAGGCCTTTTCCTCAAGGTGCAAAAAAAGCCAGCCATTGCTGGTCCATGTGTCGAAATGTCCAGGGCCACATCCATTTTATTCCCAATTGCTGCACCCATCCTTGCAATGTATGTCCAATAAAGTAGGTGCCTTGATCACTCTCAATCACTGGTGACCAGCCACAGGCTGCAAAGAGATGCTCTAGGCCTCTCTTAGTGGTTTACTGATCTGCACAACATGAAGGGCACTCCTTCTGGGATTGGCTGACTTCTTCAAAGGTCAGTGATAAGCCCCACCAATGGGCTACAGCCCACACTGTCTTTTGCCCCATGTACACCAAACTCTGATATAGCCATCAGATCATATCAGAGGTAGGCTTTCCTTTTAGCCAGCACACCTGGGTCAATGCGTCTGCTTCATTATTCCCTGGGGATGCCAAAGGCAAATGCCTAGTCATATGATACATGGTAGATGTCTGTGCCTCACCACTCCATAGCCTTTGCCTCCAGTTTCTCACCCACCTTGCAATGGGATAGGTGGTTATTACCTTGGTCGGAGCTATTCTGGTGATGGGCTCCATAGTCAGCAAGGTGTGGTACACAGCAGCCAGTTGCTTCTCTGTTAAGATGTACTGGACCTCTGCTCGTTTCCATAGTTATGACCAGGCTCCAGCTGGCAGCAGAAGCAGCAGCAGTAGTAGCAGCAGTAGCCTTAGGCTTGGGCCACAGGCTGGGGGCGGAGCGGCCAGCAGAGGTGGTGGTGCCTCCAAGACCACAAGAGTGTAGACACATGTCCCTCTGCATGAGCTCCACTTCTCCCTATCATTTCTTGGGGCGGCCCTCCCAAAGGTCACACCCATTATAACAGATTTTGGGTTCAGAGGAATCCTACCAACCGCGCCAGATGTAAGTCCAGGGAAAGGAAATCCTGAGGCAAAATACCTCTAAAAACCAAAATCAGGCAAAGGGAGAAATATAGTTTAAAACCCGTTTATTGCTTACAAAACTGCAGTCTGGCCCATGTCTCTCTCCTGCTCCAGCAGCAGCAAAACTGACCCTCCCCCTCCCCTCTCAGGTACAGATAAGCCCTCCTTGCCCAGGTAATTACCCATTGATAGGAAGATGAACTTCTCTCCACCCTTGAGGAATGATGCAAATGCACTAAAGCCATACTTCTTTCCACTTATGAATGCCTATTGATATGCAGATATACTAAAGCCAGGAGAGATATTCTGGAAATGTTACAATTTTACCCACAAAGACAGTTATCAAAGACAGAAGGTAGCTCAGAAAAACCACTAGAGAAAGCCCTCATTTTAAGATGAGGAAATTGGCTCCCAGAGGACTAAGTTGACTTGCCCAGGTGGGGACTGTCAGTGAGGAGCAGAAACAGGCTTGATGACCCAAAGCTCTTAATGTCCTTTCTGTCACATTCCCCATAATCATTAGAATAAATAATGTTCTGCAAACGTCCTCCTTAAAAGCAAGCGAAGCAGCAAGGAGTACGGCGTCCAAACCCAAAGGCCCC